CTGCCTCTGCCTCTGCCTCTGCCTCTGCCTCCTGAGTGCTGGGATTAGAGGTGTGCGCCACCAATGCCCGGCTAAGGATGGGGTCTTACTGCAGCCCAGACCTGGAATGTGTGCCTGACCAACCTGGGGCAGAAGTGGCCCTGACACTTGTGCAGCTGCACTGGGGTAATCTAGTAGAGTCCACAAAGGAGGTTCTGTCTGCCCTGACCCTGACTGACCCGAGCCTGGGGCTTGCAGTCCCTCCATTGGCCCATTTCTGCAAAAAGGTTGTTGGAGAAGCTAATCCCTAGAGGTAACTAACATCTAGGGTGGCAGACAGCAGCTAGCTTTTATCGAGGACCTGATTTGGCCAGGCTTTTGATGGGCATGTAAGGTGTGATGGAAACCCTGCCTCTGGGTCCACACCTGCCACAACCCTTTCTCTTCTCTCTGCTCCCCTTCAAACATACCCCGTAGGACCAAAACACCTTTAAAAAAACAGGTTCTAGTCATTGAGGATTGTTTTAATGCTCAAAGCAAACATAAGGAGTGTTTTTATTTCTGTGGAAAATTTCTTAGGACCTTTGTATCTCCTCTGCCTTCAAGACATACTCAGAATCTAACCCCTTCTCGCCACCTGCTGGCCTCTCTTCCATCTGAGCCTTGTGATTCTGCAGGCCTGTCCCAGCTGTGGCTCTCCCAGCAGCCCATCCTGCCTGGTCTCCAGGGTAATCTTCCTCTTGATCAGCTCTGAGCTTGCAATAGCGAAGCTCCCTGGAGTTGACAGATCTATAGGCCCCCCACTCCCCTAACTCTGGGCCCACTCAGAACCCACTCCCCAGCTTGCCCACATTGACTCCTGGTTCCCCGGTCTCATCAGTATTTTCCTTTCTCAGGGGCCTTTGCACCGCTGTCCCTGCCTGGAGTTCTGCTTCCTTAAACTCCTTGTTCCTTCACTTCCTTTGGTGTTCTCTGCCCCAGTCACCCATCAAAGAGGTTCTCCATGCAAATCCCAGAGCAGGCTCTCAACCCATTGTTCTCTGCAGTGTAGTACACTTCATTTGTTGTCAGACTTACCAGAGGGGACCTTTGTCTGTCTTGGGACAGTTATATCCCCACTGCCTAGCGTGTCTGATGCATAGTAGATCCTTGCTAAATGTTTGCTAAGCAATTAGTTGACAGCAGACCCTGAAGGTTTGTTTTGTTTGTTTTGTTTTTTTTAACTCTGTCTTGCTTCTTGTCTTGGCATCACCTTTGGCAGGTAGTTGCCTTCTGTCTGAAGAGGCCTGCTTCCCTCCTCAGCCTTTGGAGGGGCCTGATGGTTCTTTTCCCTCGCTCTGCCACCCTTCAGCCTCAGGGTTAACCAAACCCTCCACCTCCATCCTTGAGAGGACCACAGCACAGAGCACGCTGGGTTGAGCGTGGGAGGAGTGTTCCCACAGTGGCCTGTCATTCTTCTCAGAATTCACTGTGGTGGCCTGCTTTGAAAATGGCCTCTGCAGCTGTAGTAAATGCAGATGACTCCCTGCGATGACCACCCACCTGCCACCTCCCTTGGAGTGGAAAGAGGAAGGAGGGGAAGAAGACTCCCACACCATTCTGGGCCACCTGGGTTGTGGCCAATGGCTAGGTTCTCTGAAAAGGCCCTCAGAACAAATCTCCTTAGAAATGAATCCTTAGAATGTACAATCCAGAAAAGCTAACCACCTGACTATCACAGAATCGGGGAAGCCAGAGTCCTGACTGGGACAGCTCTAGAGTTTCAGAGAGATCTCGAGGTTGTAGTCTGTCACAGACACTAGCTGTCCCGCCATATTTGATCCACACGGCCTCCCAGAAGTGATGGAAGTTTACTGCACCCATGTGCAGACAAGAAAATCAGGAGGAGAGACTGACAGGGTTGCCACTGTTGCTGGGAGCCTGGGACTGCAGGCTGCTTTAGGGATTCCAGAAGAATGCGTGCGCCCAGATCCCTACCTCGCTGTGAACACAAATTTTAAGGAAAGCAGCCAACACACTGGCTCCCCCTACACACTCCTGTTCCTCAAGAATCCTGGCACTTTGTAGCTCAGATGTAGCCCTGGGAGGAAGCTTCTGGACTTGGGGGTGGTTTGCTGGGGATGAAAAGGTCACCTGCCCCCAAGCCAGGTAATGAAAAGCTGGGTATGCAGAGGGAGCTCTTCAGTGCACACCCAGCATTAAACCTTGGCTTGCTCATCTGGGAAGCATGTGCAGTGACTTGCCATGGTTCGGTACAGGGGTACAGGCACTCCTTAGGTCCAGGCTGGAACCTTCTAAAATGTATCATTCATGCCCAGTCTAAAGTAGAATTTATGGTTAATAAAATCCCTGGCCATAGGAATACCTAGCGCTAACATGCTTTCTCTCTGCCCACAGACTCCAGCCCTCCTGCACGCCTCCTGGCCACCCGGCCTTGCTACGGCCCTGGCCCTGAGAGGCGAGCGGTCCTGGGCGAGGCACCACGCTTCCACGCTCAGGCCAAGGGCAAGAACGTGCGGTTGGATGGCCACTCGCGCAGGGCTACACGGCGCAACAGTTTCTGCAACGGAGTCACCTTCACACAGAGGCCCATCCGCCTGTATGAACAGGTGCGCCTGCGCTTGGTGGCCGTGCGTCCTGGCTGGAGCGGTGCCCTGCGCTTTGGCTTCACTGCGCATGACCCGTCGCTCATGAGCGCGCAGGACATCCCCAAGTACGCATGCCCCGACCTGGTCACACGGCCTGGATACTGGGCCAAGGCGCTGCCTGAGAACCTGGCGCTGCGGGACACGGTGCTGGCCTACTGGGCCGATCGCCATGGCCGCGTCTTCTACAGTGTCAACGATGGTGAGCCGGTGCTGTTCCACTGTGGCGTGGCCGTGGGAGGCCCACTCTGGGCACTCATTGACGTCTACGGCATCACTGATGAGGTGCAGCTGCTGGGTAGGTCGGTTGGCACAGCCTGTGCATCCACAGTGTTCACAGCCCCCCGAGTGGGGGGCAGGCTTAGTTCACCTGCGGGTACCCAGCTGCCCATTGTATCCCTGTGTGTCTTGATTCTCACAAAAGCAATGATGTTCAACTTCCAGAGGAGGAAACTGAGGCACAGAGAGTTAACGTTTGTTACAGAACTGGGAGAGAACCCACGTGGGCCCGGCCCAGAGTCCATGCCTTAGCTAGCCAGCTTGTCACTCTTAGACCACTGCTCACTCATTCATTCACTCAACTCTTTCACTCATTTGTCCATGGACCACTTCCCCCAATCCTGGCATGCATTTCCTCTGCTGGCTCTTATACAGTGGGCAGTCAGGTGCAGCAGCCAGAGCCAGGCTAACTGCGAAGAAGCGCAAGCTGCATTGGGGAAGCCCCCATAGTGTTGAAATTCTGACTGGATGCCCACAATGTAAACGTTTTCTCCCATCATCTCGAGACACTATATGTGATCTCATATATATGCGTGATATATACACGTATGTATATGTGTATAAATATGTATGCCCCCCACCGCTGAGCATGGAGGAAAGACACGCACACACACACACACACACACACACACACACACACACCTCCTGACCCAAATATTCCTGTCTCAACCTGGTCATATGGGTACAAGGACTGCCTAAGATCATATGTGTACAGAACATATGTGTGTGTTACTTTAAAGAAAATTGATGTAGAATTTGGCCAGGAATAGGATGGTGTGCATGCCTTTAATCCCAACACTTGAGAGGCAAAAGCAGGTGGGTCTTTATGAGTTTGAGGTCAGCCTGGTCTACAGAGTGAGTTCCATGCCAGCCAGGCTGTATATAAGAGCCTGTTTAAAAAAAAAAAAAAAAAAAAAAAAAAAAAAAAAAAAAAAAATAGAATTAACACAAACAGGAAAGTAGCCATTTTAAAAGGCATAGTTGAGTGGCCTTGAGTTGGTGCCCATTACCTCTGGTTCCATAGTAGTTACTCTTCCCAAAGGACAATAGACCCCTTAGGCCATTCTCTGTTCTCTCCTCCCCCACAATGAATGGCAGTCACTTGTTCTCTTCTGCAGCTCCAGTCTGCACTTGAAACAACCTGGCCTAGACTTGGAAGGTATGAAGGGAGAGTAGGTTTCTCAGGGAAGCTGGACACAGCCCTGTCTGTAATTTACCTGCAAGGAAATACAGAGGATAAAGTGAGTGGATGGACGGATAGACAGATTTATCCACCTGTCTGTAGCCTGAAGCTCCCCTCTCCTGAGGTGGTTCTTGACTCTGATCTTTCTGCATAGCCTGTTTCTTAACGCGCTCTGTGAGTGGACTGATGCACGCCCTGGAAATTGCTGCTGATTGCTTCTTTTTGATGGGAAGATGGTTTATACAGCTAAATGTTTGGACTGTTTCTGGTTTGCCTGCCCCACCTCCACACCACTGGGCATGGAGCTGACTCTCCTCTATCCCTAGAAATAATGAGGCTGAAGAAGTTCTAAGTGGATATTAAGCCACCATGACTTAATATTAAGAATGGGCAGTGGTTAAGGGATGATGTAATGTACAACCCTGAGAGATCCCTGGGAAAACTTGGCTTGGGGAGAGAGGTACCCCAGGACTAACCAATGGATACCTCACAACAGCCAGTGTCCAGTTTACCCTGTGCACCCCAGACTTCTGAGGAGGCAATATAATTGCTTTAAAACTCTCAGCCATGAAATCCCAGAGTAGAGAAAAACCCAGTACCCTTCATTGCCCCCACTTCTCATACCCCACTGAATAAAGCCCACAAAGCAAAACCCAATGATGACATCATGGGAGGGCTGTCAAATGGAGTGATAAAAATACAGGACATCTAGTTAGATTTGAATTTAAGATAAACAAAACAAAAAATTTAGTTGTGTATGGCCTATGACAGTATTTGGAACATGCTCATACCGGAAAAATAAAAAATTGTTTATCTAAAATTCATATGAACCCAGGCTTTATTTCATCCAGTAACACAGGCCTGGGAAACACAATCATCTTTGGGGACTGTGCCTTCACTGCCTCAGAACTTGAGCCAAGTCAAAAGGGGCCTAGAGGCTGCACACAGCTTTTGGCCTGGTGGAAGTATGCCCTGCTCTGCATCTTCCTGCAGTGGGTCCAGCTACCACACTGGTATGGCCAGGCCCAGGGTGCAGTTCCCTGCTTAGGTAAGAATCTGGGTTCTGAGAAGGAAAGTGCCCAGCCCTGGAGCTTCCGGTCTATGAGACTTGATTTGTCTGTATTTGGCTCACTAGCTCTCAGCCCTGGCTGTACACTGAGTCCCCTGGGAGACCTGGAAAGTCTCTGCTCAGTCTGCACCTAAGCCAATGACAGCAGGTCTGGCTCCCAGCACCAGGCTTACCCAAGGCTCTCAGGTGGTACAGCCTGCAGCCAGGACTGTAATTCTGAGGAAGCCCTTTGCATTGGGTGCCTGTTCCTCCCTCTCTCTCCCTCCTAGCCATCCTGTCACTCTGAGATGGAATTCCTTTAGACTTCATTTCCTCATTTGTATTTGTGATCATGTCACATGTGCCAGGCCTGTCTCATCAGTTAGTGCACCCTAGGACAGCTTGCAGATAAAGAAAACGAGGCTCACATCTGCTTGCTAAGGTACACTGGCATTCCAGCTGTCCTCTTCCCCCAGAACATTGTAGGCTCCCCAGGAATGGCTGAAGGAGGTCCATCCCTCTTCCCAGCACAAAAGGTCTGGGTCTGAATGGTCCCCATCCTTCCTCCGCCCAGTGCTGGTCAGATTAAACAAATATCACACTAAGGCCATGGCCTCGAAGGCTAGACAATCTGAAATATTTGGCTGTTTCAATATTATTTAAGTGGAAAAAAGACACAGTGCCTTGAAACACTGGTATAGGGCAATGCCTGGGGTGGGCGTTCTTCACTTCTTGTTCTGCTGTCATTCTGTAGACTTCCTACTCAGCGTGGCCTTCCTGTGGGGCAAACAAGGGGCCACTCACCTGCTGTGGCAGTCCTGCATCCTACTAGCTGCTTTTCTAGGCCTCAAGACTTACTGGTCTCATCCACTCATTAGGGTTCAAACCCCATTCTGGACTTGTGGCCATAGGCAGGGGGTGTGGTAGTTGAAGGACCCCCACCAACTCCTTAGGTCATAGTTGTGAGGGTGGGCTGTTCTTTGCAAGAGAAATCTGGGTGTGGGGACAGAAGCCAGAGCAGCAGTCCTGTCTGGGTCTTGCAAGGCACCATGTACCTGACTGGAAAGGCTACACACTTTCTGCTGAGACAGAAGACCCTGGACTGTATACTAGCTGCACTCACTTTCTTAAATTGTGAATTGTGGCATGTATAAAACACATGTAAAAACAGTACATACAGGGCTCTCAAGCAGTTATGGGCACTTGCTGCTCTTCCAGAGGACCCAGATTCGATTCCCAGCATCCACATGGTGACTCACAAACATCTGTAACTCCAGTTTCAGGGGATCCAGTGCTCTCTTTTGGCTTCTTTGGGCAGCAAGCATGCAAGTGGTACACATAAATATATGTAGGCAAAACACACATAAACATAAAAATAACAAAAATGTTTTAGAAGTATATATAAACATATTTTAAATGTATAAACATATATATGTATATATATTTAGCTCTTAGAGTTACCCAGAGTATGGAGATGTGTGTATGTGTGTATAATATAACATGAAGATATATATGTATGTATGTATGTATGTATGTATGTATGTATAAACAACTATAGACTTTGAGCAAGCTCTCATTAAGCAAGACCATTTCTCCTTACCTACTGATCTGAGGACATCCGCAGGCCTTGAAAGACATCTCTAAACTGTTGGCTTCCATGTTAGTTGCTCTTCTGACTGCTGTAACAAAATACCTAAGGCTTTGCCGTGATGTCTATTTGGCATGTTGTACAGGTTGAAAGAGCAGATCAGGCTGCCTCCCTGATCTGTCCTTTGGTGGGGCCTCTGGGAGTTGCCATCACAGTGATGGGCACAAGTGAAAGAGATCACATAGTGAGACAGCAGCTGGAGAAAACTGGGGGTCAGGCCTATTCTAACAACCCGTTCTCACAGGACAAACATCACCTCAGCCCAGCATTCACCCTGGGGACCAGCACTTCCAATAGCATACTCAGAACATGTACTACCTCTTAATCATCCAGGACCTAGCTCCCAACACAGGAACCCCAGGGGACTTAGCAAACCAAAGTTCCCAAAAGCACTCCCTGCCCACTGCCTCCCTGCCTTTCTGACACTCAGCCTTGCACTGAGTGACTCTCCCCTACCCCTTTGCTCTTTCAGTACCTTACGTCAGCAAAAAGCACTTCCCACTCCAGACATTGGCATCCACACTTCCTCTTTCCTTCCCATTCTGTCACATGCCCTGTCATTTCTGTTCCCAGTGTCATTGTACAGAAGAGCCCTGAACCTAGACAAGACAGCTTGGGTTGTGTACCAGGTCCTGCCCCCTACACCCTGTGCCTCAGCTCCCATCTTTGCCAAATGGCAGCAGTGATAGTTCATACCTGTCAGTTGCAGTATTAAGTGAGATACGTGAGCTCAGGTTAACCTGCCACATGCCAGGGCCCAGTATAGGATTAGTGCTTTAGGCTGATGATGCTGTAGGGAAGCAACAAAGGCTCTTCAAAAGCCCAGATGTGTAAACTTATGAAGACCTGTGGGGAAAGGGAGAAAGGGACAAAAGAAGGAGGCAAGAAGTTGGGCTTGGTGCATGGACCCCAGGGCTTGGGAGACTTAAGATCACAAGTTCAAGAACAGCTTGGTCGGGGAGGGAGAAGAGAGGAAGTGAGGTGGGGAAGGAAGAGAAGGCCTTTTAAAACAATAGGAGGTCAGGCACAGCAAGGATGGAGGCTCTGTTAGTACTCAATCCAGTCTGACCACCTGCAGGCCTAAGGGCATGGGAATCTGGGGGCCAGAGTCCAAAGTCATGAGGATCTGGGGTGAGGTTCAAGGAAACTGGGAGTCAGGCAAATCTGGGGTCCAGGGTATTAGGTCTAGGAGTTCAAGAATGGGGCTTGAAGTACGGGGTGAGATCTGGAGGAGATGGGGTCTGGAGTCTCTGATGGTGGGGTTGGTGGGTGCCATCTAAGGTCCAGATTCTGAGGTTTGGGAGTTAAGGAGTGTGGAGTCAGAGGGAACCTGGGGTTCAGTTTCTGAGGTCTGGGGAAACTGGAGTCTAGGGCTTTAGGAATTGGGTCTGAGGTCTGGGGGTGATGGGATCCAGGGTCTGAGCCCTGAGGTGCAGGCGCCAGCAGTCTCCTGATGCTTCTCCTCTGTCCTGCAGAGAGCACCTTCAGTGACACACTGACACCCCTGCGCCTGGGCCAGGCCCGCCTCAGCGCCTGCCCCCCTCCCGGCAGCCACGACACCGCCAACTTCGACAACAATGAGCTAGAGAACAACCAGGTGGTGGCCAAGCTGGGTCATCTGGCCCTCGGCCGTCCGGACGCCGCTGTCCCGTGCGTGGCCCGCGAAC